GTATGTATATCTTCTATTTATACATGAAACCGCAAAGTATAACACTTACAGTACCCGTGGGGACAGGGTATCATGGGCTGTGCATCACACCTATTAAACATCTTGACATATGCCCTGAAATTTTCTGTAACCCTAATTTTCTCCACACAGCTTCTGAAATTCCTCCCAGTGTTGTAATTCCAAAGCTGTCAACCATATCAAGGGACTCTCTAACTTCCTCCTGACTTAAGGTTTTTCCTTCGTATGTGGTTTTGCCTGTGGCCACCAATATAAGAAGGTAATGTTAGGAGACACATAGGGGACTGTAACAGAGGGACTATGGAACAGCAAGAAGTGGGGAAGTTTGCATTTGGCTGAATTTAGGTACAACCCAGAAAACTTTTCCAGTTGTTTCAGAAAGAACAGGAAAAAGAACAAATAACATAGATCCTTCTAAAATCTTGTAAAGCTATTGAAATAAGTGAAGGAAAAACATGCGTCTTGCTCCTTTCTTTCCTCTTTCCCCTTCCTATTTTTCTTAATTTCAATTAAGCTGCTTTCTGAATTGTTGCTGTCAAGTTCTGACTACCATGTGTGTCACTGGCCTATAAAAGCTGAGGAACTGATTCACAGAAGGGTGACAGTGTTATCTTTAACTGACATAAGCAGTGTGAGCTTTTTGCTGTTAAGGCCTCTAGGCGATCTTGGCAATCTAGTTTATGATCGTGACTTCTGAGAAAAAAAAAAAAAAATCCATTATGTTCTCCTGAAATCATCATCAGATTGAGCCTCTGAACAGTGCTTTCAGCAAAGGTTAGGAAGTTAATTTTCATAGTTTTATAACTGATTTCAGATCTAGATGCCTTATTCATGTAAAAATTAATAGGAGTTGGGCTGCCAGAGACCTCAAAACCTTCAGAATTTATTAGAAAGTACCTTTTTTTAGCTTGACCTTTTAAACCAAAGTACAAAAAAAAAATCTTACCAAAACAGGACATTACATTGCCAGTAGTTGTTATGATGGGTTTGAAGTAAACATGGGAAAAATGTATAGGCACTGCTTGTTGTGTATTTAAAGACTTGCATTCTAGTGTGATGACCATAGTAAGAAAACTTACTTACCATAGTAAGAAAAAAGATGTGGAATAAAATAGTAATTACAAAATGTATTCAGTTCAATGATAGCTACCATTTATATTTTGTTTTTTTCATTATCAACCACTGCTGTCTAATCTTAGGTGATTTCTCTGTTATGATAGAAAGGGGTAAATGATGAAATCTAATATATCCAACAAAATAAAGGAAACTCTCCATAAGTGAAAGGAAAGGATTTTGTTTAAGCAAAGGTCTATATTTAAGGTGCTGTGAATATGCTTCGAAGTGGCCTGCGTTGCAAATAAATACGGACTTTAGCTTCAGAAAGAGTATTAAAAAGGCTGTGTAAATAAATAATCTGATACAGGCCATCTCAGAATTAGTAATTTGTTACATATGAGTTTATTTAACAGCCTTTAATTGATTATTGATATATTGTCAAAAATGGTGCCATTTCTCTACTACATTTTCCAGTCCTGTGGTGGTGTAGCCTTCTGCCACTGTCTCATAATTATAGATTACGATGTTTTGAATACTTTTCTAAAAAAAGTTAGTTTAAATAGTGAGTTAAAACCTTTGGCATGTTATCTAATTAATAAATTGCATTCTGGATTTGGATTATGTGCATTTGTCAAACAGTTCAACTGTCTAGGATGATACAGGTAATGTATGAGGAAGGCCTATCTTTCAGCTTTAATTTCATGAATAAATCTTACTGCACAGTGCTCCAGATTGATCTGTGCTAGGAAGTGAGGTCCACACAGGCTCTTAGGTCTGTCGTAATGGTGAAGATAGACTCTTGAGGAGGAAATCTCAGGAGATGGATCTGCTTGGCTACCCCACTATACATATTTTTGCTATTAAAGTACCAAGACTAAACAAATTCCTTTCCAAACATTGTAATTTTTTTTTTTTTTTTTCCAAAACCTAAAAAGGACTTGAGTGAAGAAAAATGAGATAAAGCATGCTATCTGAGAACACTGTAATGTTAGGTCAATATAGAAATCCATTACCTTCAGTGCTTCTGTGTAGTATAGTTTATAATTGTTCTCAATACACAGTGAACATCAAATTCATGAATCAAACATCTTGATAATGAAAGATGCTGTGGCACTGGTGATTCTATGAGCTTCCTTCAGGAAGGGACTGCAGATTCTCAATCCTATTGACAGTAGACCTCAGTAACACTACAGAAAAATACGGGTCTTTTACTGAAAACTTGGCAATGAAGTTAAAGCTTGATGGACATATGATAGCTTTGGTCAGCCAGAACTCTCATAATCCGAAGAGTAAACTATTTTGGTTACTGTTAGGAACCTTCAAAGGGTAATTCATCTTAGGTCCAGACTAGAAGCAGTAAAGTCTGTGCAGATGAAATTGTGCAGCTACCTCAATGTACTTCAATCAGAGTTTTAGAAAAGCACATAAATAATGCCGCTGAATGCTTGATCTTGACAAATAGTGAAATCCTGTGAACTATTATGTGTATTATTGAACATGGCTGTCATTCTCAGATGACTCATCTTTTACTGGTTTTTAGGAGGTTGTGGTAAAATGCATGCCAGTTTCAGGATGCCAAGTCCCATTTTTTCTGGGGTTCTTGACAGATGTAGTGGTAAGAAAAGGCAGAAAAACATCATATTGTAGGAGACCTTTACACAGATAGAAGACTGATTGGCTGCAATACAGTTTCAATAGTTAGCTAGTGCCAGTTATCATGTATATGGCAGACCTAGATTTGCTATGATGTGTTTTCCTTGGGAATGCAGTTTGTCAGAAATCATAGTATCTTTGAATAATGCATTTTTCTTCCGCATAGCACACCCACTCATAAAAATAAATACTGAGGTTTGGATTGTATAAATATTCCTGCATACACAAGATCTTATGAGGAAACTACTTCGTATTACAGTGTTGTGTAAAAATGTTTTGATTCAAAAATAACAGAAAGAGAGATTCTTGTTTCAGCTGCTGGTATTCTGCTGTGTCAAAGCATGTAACAAATTTTTATTTGTTTGACTTGTCTTGCAAAATTACCTGTGTTAACCTACCATGACTAAAGCAGCAAAAAGGGGGAAATTTGCCAAGAGAGAGGTAGCATTTTTAATAGTGCTATAAAACATATAATAGCATATAGCAATATATGCTGTAGCATATAGTGGATCATTGTTGCCAACTTTTTGGAATGTAAATTAGTATCTTTATTTTATTCTAATTAGTCCGATGTCTTAAAATCACTTTATTTTGTATGTATTCATTCTCATATATGTGAATCAAACACTGACTATCTTTCCAATGTGAATGAGCACATCCAAATAAATATCCTATTCTATTAAGGCTGCTGAAACAGCACAGAAGAAGTGTGGGTATCATATTGTTTGCTTCTAGCTCAGCAACCTTAAGTAGTTCCTCTAATGCACAGAAATGTTAGATCTCTGATCTGCAACATTGGTAGAACATTCATCTAACTCATCATTCATTAGAGGGTTATATGGCTTTTGTTACCGTCTTAATATTTATAGAAGATTTTGGCATTTTTCTCATAAAAGGGTGTTGTAAGTGAAAGTGCTCTTTTAATTTTTTTAGCCTTTTTTTGGCCTTTTCAAAATTTTCTCGTGTAGTTTGGGTTGTAACTTAAGTGTAATTATGATCATTTAAATGCCAGTGTGACTAACTGTTTGAGTAATGAATTAAGGGTGTGCATTCAATAATTGAACTTACATGGTATAATGGGGCTTAATTAGCATTGATATATTGATATAATGCTTTACAACACTCTGAGGATGTGCATGTATTGAGTAATTAATCCTCTCCACATGCAGGTTAGTGAGGTTAGTATGGTTATGTTTATTCTGCAGATGGGTAGAGTAAGGTAAGAGAGAAGTACGGGGTGAAAGAATTTGTCCACGAAACATGCAGTTTCTGAAAAGATACCAGAATTACATGTGAGCTTTTCAGACCACCATTTCTTTGATGAACACATTTATCTTTTGTGCTCTGTTCATGACATATTTCAGCTTCCTGCACTTATTTGTTCTGCTCTAAAGGAAATTAAAAAATTTTAATTTGTACTACTTCAATGAAAGGAATGGCATGCCATTAATAAATTTCAAATGAGATAGAGAACAAAAACAATTCCATTTTCCTCCTCCCCAACACACACTTTTGCTTTTCCTGGGTGGAGGAGTATCATCTCTAAACTGATAACAAGTTAAGACAATCTCTTCCAAATAACTAATGCTTACAAATGGTAGTAACTTTCTGCAATAAAAAAGAAAATAACTATGTCCATTCATATCAGCCCAATGTTACTACTTAGTCATTGTTTCCCTCATATTTTCTGTTTCCATTAACAAAGACTGACTTAATTTATTTTCTAGAACCTGGAGTAATTTGAAAATAAGCAGAAAATCAAACTTCTTTAATACACTTTAGACTTCAGTTTACTGTCAGAGACCAGTTAATTACTGGATCCTTTTAAATTGCTATTCTATCAAGTAAAATGAAAACTGTACGTAAAGTGCCGTCTACTGCCTGGATCCATAATGATGATGTACGAATATTTTTGCAATATTACAAAAAAAGAATTAAATAAAAACTTCTTTTACTTCATTCAGAGTTTTGGGAGAAACAGCAAAGTTTATAGGATATTTCATTTGAAAATAGATCTGTAAAGAACTTCACTGAAGGAGTGTTAAACCAAGAAATGAGTTTGAAATTAGCTTTGAAAGTTGGGATATCTGTTACCAACTGAAATCTTTTGTGAAAGTACATTTCATAGACTAATTTCTCCATTTTTTGTATAAGGAATACTGTTTTAAAAAATGAAAATAAACCCAATTATTTAATTACAATTGTTTGACAGGTATTTATTACTTCATTCTGCAGCATTTAACCGTAACATTTTTCTTTCTTTCTTTTGACAGTATTACCTAGTCATACTTGTGGCAACCCAGGAGAGATACCTAAAGGAGTACTTCATGGAACCAGATTCAACATTGGAGATAAAATCCGATATAGCTGTATCTCTGGTTACATCCTTGAAGGCCATGCGATGTTGACATGTATTGTGAGTCCTGGAAATGGTGCATCATGGGATTTTCCAGTTCCTTTTTGCAGAGGTAAAAATGAAGACATGAAATATCTTTAAATTATAAAGACAATATTAAACCACCAGATTAAATAAATTTATTTTGAGGTGGGTTTTTTTTACTTTCTAAATGTAAAAGTACTAATGTACTGTCTAAAAATCTACACCGTTTAAAACTATAATCACAATTCAGAAGCAATGACTCTCCAGAGTTTACATTCAGAGGTAGATGTTATCTACTGATCTTTTTTCATTTACGCAGGGGATAGCTATAGCAATTTAACAGCAGGACCTGGCAAATGCTTTTGCAAGTTTCTACTTTTGGAAACTTTCTGCCAGGAAGAAGCTTGAAATCTTCAACCATATGATCTTTGAAGGGGACATCTGATGGACCAATCCCTTTGAGTCCAACTCCTGCTTAAAGCATGGATAACTTCAAAGTTAGACCAGGTTGCTCAAGGCTTTGCCCACTTGAAATTTTAATATCTCCATGGATGTTGATTCTAAAGCCTCTCTGGGAACCTGTTCTAGTGCCTAGCTGCCCTCATTTTCATGATCAGTTTGAATTATCTTTTTACAGGTTATATCCATTTCCTCTTCTGCCGTTGTGGACCTATGAAAAGATTCTGGCTCCATCTTTCCTAAATTAAACAGTACAGTTAGATTTTCTCATAGCCTCCTCTTGTCTGGGCTGAAAAATCCATTTCCCTCATTCTCTAGTCTCATACATTATGTTCTTCATCATCTTAACCATCTTAGTGACCCTTCTCTGGACTTCTGGTCTGTCAATGCCAGTGTCTCCTTTGTACTGGGAGAGCGTAGGGTGGACACAGCATTCCAGATGGGGCCTCCTGAGTGTCAAGTAGATGAACTCGGTCTAACTCTCGCTCTTTAGCTGCTGGCTATGTTCTTGCTCATGCAACCCAATACGAGGTAAGCCTTCAGTGCTGCAAAAGTGCACCACTGACTCAGCTTCTATTTCACCAGGACCTCAGGTCATTTTGTCAGAGCTGCCACTTAGAAAATATTTTTTGCATGGGATGATCCTGTTCCAGGTATAGGATGATCCTGTTCTAGGTATGAGACTTAGCATTTCTGGTTTGGAATTTCATAAGATTCCTGTCATTCTTCCAGGTTGTCAAAGCCTGTCTGAATGGCAGTCCTGCCCTTCAGGGTGCCATCTGCAAACCTTGTCAGAGTGCATTCAATCCCATACTGCAGACTCACGGTGAAGATATTATAAAAATTCAGCCCCAATTTGGATCCCTGGGGAATGCTGCAAGTCACTGACCACTAGCTTGACTTTAAACTATTGGCCTCTGCTATGTGAGCCTGATCGTTCAGTCAGTTTTTCACACACATAATAGCCCACCCATCCAGTCTGTATGCCCTCAGTTTGACTACAGTGATATAGTGGGGAACTGTGTTGTGAAAACTTTGTTAACGTCAGGCTAAATATTTTTGTCAAAGAAAGAAGTCAGGTAGCCAAGGATGATTTGCATTGGCAAAAGCTGGATGCCCCTGTTCAGCTTTTTGTCCTTTGTGTGCTTGGGAATGGTTTTCATAAACACTTACACCATAATTTTCTGGAGGTCTGAGGTGAACTTGACAGATACACGGTTGCTAGGATCCTTGGGGTTTTTTTTAAATGAGAAATGAAAAATTACCTCTTTCCCAGTCATTGGGAATCAGCCTTGCTTGTCATAACATTTCAAAGATGACACAGAGCAGCCACACACTGTGACACACCAAGAACCCTTTGGTGCATTCCATTAAGTACCATGAACTTGCACATATCCTGTTTACTTCTATAGGTTCTTGTATTGTTTCTCCTGTGCTGTGGCTACTACTTTTCTTCCCAAAACTTCTGCATTTTATTGAGAATTGGGAGGCCTGAGGGCACCCTTTGCTAATAAAGAGAGAAGCAAAGGGGACATTGAGTGCCTCAGCCTTTTCCATGTCTTCATCACAAGGTCACTCAGCCCACTGAGCAGCAGCACCACCATGTCCTTCATTTTCCTTTTGTTGTTGATATAGCTATAGAATGGTTTCTAGTATGACCACTCTTCACATTCCTCACCAGTTTTCATTCAATCTGAGCTTCGGCCTTCCTTCTTCTATCCCTGCATTCCTGAGCAACACTTCTATATTCCTTTCAAGTAGCTCATTCCTGCTTTCACATTTTGTACACTGTTATGGGGGGGGGGAGGGGGCTTTGCATTTCAGTTAAAACACCTCAGTCAGGAATTTCCTGTTCAGCCCGAGCAGCCTCCTGCTATGCCTATTCATTTATGTACATATATATATATACATCGTTCTTGAGCTTTGAGGAAGCTGCCTTTGAAGACAAACAAGCTCTTCTGGGCCTCTTGGCCCTTCAAGACATCAGCCCATGAGAGCCCGTCTACCACTTTGCAAATAAGTTGAAATCTGGTTCTACTATTTATCTTCTTCGCTTCCCACAGGATCTTCAGCTCATGGTTATTGTAACCATAGCTGCTGTTGAATACTACTTACCTGAGTGCTTCTTTTTTTCTACACCTAGTTGGCCTGTCCAGTGCCTGCATTAAAGACATTCTTCCCGGTGAACTCAGAAACCTAATGGATTGCTTGCCCTCTGCTATGCTGCCATCCACACAGATGTTGGGATGGTTAAAGCCTCCCATGAGAACCAGAGCCTGTGGTTGGGAAACTTCTAGTTGTTTAAAGGTTTTGACCACTTCTTAATCAGGTGGTCTGCAGCAGATATTCACCATAATGATGTCCCCTTTGGCTTCCCTTTCTCATTCTAGCCCGCAGGAGCTCGATGAGCCTGTCGCCTGTTATTGCAGAAGGGCTCTGTTCATTCAAGATCCTACTTTGCGTAGGGTGCAGCCTCTCCTTTTCTTCCTGCTTTTCCTAAGAGCCTGTGTCTATCCATTGCAGCCCTCCGGTCAGGTGAGCTGTCCCACTAGGTTTCTGTAATCTTGATGACACCAAAGTTGAGTGACTGTATGTGCACTTCCAGTTTGTCCAGTTTGCTTCCCATGCAGCACATTTTTGCGTACACTTCAACTGGGCTTCCAGTCATGTTGCTTTCTGAGGGGGAGGGAGAGAAACATTCATTGCCTCGTCCCATGTGTTCTTCCCTGGACCTGTAGGTTTTGGCCTGCATCCCTGACAAACAGTTTGGAGCTCTCCTTGCTAGGTCAGCGAACCTGTTGCCCCGTTCAGCCAGGCAGATCCCATGTCTCCCCTGCTGCCCTTATTCCTTGAAGATGATCCTGTGGTCAAAGAAGTCAAAGCCCTGGTGCCCAGCACCAGCTGCTTAGTCAAGTGTTGTTCTGCAGGAATCTGATTCTCCTGCCTGAGCTTTTCCTCTTGCACTAAGGAGAACCCCTCTGGTCTCCCATGCTTTTCAGCCTAATCCCAAGCCCTCTGGACACCCTTTACTTTTCAAATTCTCCCTTGGCAGTATTATTGGTACCCATGTGGATGAGCAATAAAGGGTATTTGTTGTCTTCTGTAATAATTTGTGAAGGTTTCTTGTGACTGAAGGGTCTTAATATGATTCCTCACAGCAAAGAAATATTTTAGAAATTTCTGTTCTCCAAAACAAATGTAAGAGTTAATAATCAAAAAAACAGCAGAGATTTGGGTCATGTCTGTTGTTTGTATTTGATTTCAATCAGTATGCCACAAAGATTTCTTTTACAAGGTCTTCGAAAACAGGAAGAAAACAAAAATTTTCTAACCTTTCAGTTGCCTGATCTTAGATGTTGTTTTCTGTTTTGTTGTTGTTTTTTTTTCCTTCTAATATGAGGTAGTAAACAGGTTTCAGAAAAATATACATGTTGTAAGTTCATGGCGTTGTCAGTGTCTATTAAATATTTGTTCTGTTTCTGCAGATACTGCCCATTTTGGCAGTGTTCGCTGCATACAAATGTCTCTAACAGGACTGAAATTTTGTTCATCACTGTAACTCTATGAATTTAACCTATTAATAAAAACTCAGGCAGTGTCCTAAACTCCTTGTAGAACTTACATGAAATCCAAAGAATTCTGTGTACCTTCTGTCAAGAAATGACAACCGTAACAGAAAAGTTATTTAACAGTTAATGATTTATGTGAGCTGAGCCATTGCCTCAGTGGTTTTTTAGAGTTCATGTAGAATGTGGATTTGATGAGGGATTTTAGACATTCCTTATTTTATTTCATTTTATCAGTCTGGAACATATGCCACGAGGTAGCCCTTTCCATTCACTATGTCTTCAAGCAAGAAATGTTCCACTGCTGTTTCTCTAAGAACCTTGGTCTTTTCTATGAAAGCACCTTTTGTTACAGTTTTGTTTCTAGATGGTGTTTTTCTTTCTTGTCATTGTAAACTAATTTCGTGGCATCCATGGAAGATAATATAGCAGAGTTAAATAAAGTTACATGGTTTATATACTAAAAAATAACAACCTTGGTCTCTAGGGTATGTTTCCCTAGCTTTGCTGATGCTGGGAAATTACTATTTTCTGCAGTTTTATTGCTTAATGTTTTCAGAAGCATTAAGAAGCTGGTGTCCAGTAATTTATACATTATCTAACCATATAAATGCTGTTTCTGCTAGAAAAATTCCTAGTGAATTACTAAGCCTTCAGGAAGCTGTAGACAGCATTGACTTTTCTATCTGCCATTTTGTTTCTCCGGCTGCTACTCAGTTTCAGAGGTTCTCTCTTAAAAGTATAGCCATGCCGAGGGTGCTGGAGCTGAACTGTACTGCAGGTTCATTGACGGCTTAGAATGAACTCTGAACAGAAATCAAAGGTGCAGTCAATGGCAATTTTAGAAAGTTTAGATACTTTGACTGTCAAGACATTTGCTTTATCTTTTTTTTTTCTGTTTTTTGAATAAACTATGATTTTTTGGTGTGTGAAAATACTGCAACTTCCAAACTGAAAAAGATAGAAACCAGTCCCCCCAAAAGAGAAAACAGCCCCCCCAAAAAAGTTCAAAGACAATTTCTGAAAAGATGAGGTAATTATTAAAACTTAGTCGTCTTTTTCC